CTTGTGAAAAAAAGGGTTTAGGGTTTTAGGGTTTAGGGTTTAGGCCCGGGTTTAGGGTTTTAGGGTTTAGGGTTTAGGGTTTAGGCCTTTGTGGGTCAAGCTGGGCAGTAATTTGGGCAGCGGACGAGTCCCTTGTGAAATAAGGATTTATGGTTTAGGGCATCCTGAAGCTTGGATGATCAGTTGATCGATTTTTGCAGTCTGGGGTAGCGGGTGGCACGAGTCCACAGCACAGTTGGCGCCTCGGTTCCTGGCATCTGCATAGCCCAGGTGTAAAAGGTTGTAAAGGGTTTGGGGTTGTAATACTTGGAACAGGTTTGTGCCGCATATTATTTTATGATTCTGAGAGGGGCCGGAATGCATAGTATCACTTCATGTTCAGAACTACTATGGAGCCTATGGGTAGTTCCCAAAAGCCGGATCCCAGCTTCGACCCAAGTATCGATGTTGACTCGGGCAGTTTCTTCCGCGACTTCTTCTTTCTTAACCCAAAAGTTTAGGGTTTAGGAAAAGTCTAGCATGTCGGCGTGATTCCGGAACAGCGCAAGCCGTGGCTGTCATGCTAAAGAGTAATAAGAACCCACAGACCCCAAGCGCTGAATCCCTAAGCCCGAACCCTCCAGGCCTTATCCCAGGTCTCCGGAAATGCCCTCTTTAACATCATGGGTGTCTCCTGAACAATGGATCCTCCTTGTGAAATGGATTCCCGACACTTGTGAAATTGAGACATTTCCTAAAACTGGGCCTAGTCCCAAGCTACACCGCATTCTCAGACCCTAAAGATGTGAAGCCCTAAACCCTAAACCCTAAACCCGAAACCCTAAACCTTTCACCTTGCCAGATCGTTGTAGCAGGGCTCAGCTTGTCCAACGGTGGGAGTCACGAACTTGAGGCTTTAGGGTTTAGGGTTTAGGCTTTAGGGTTTAGGGTTTTGTCCAACGGTGGGAGTCAAGAACCACCCGAAATCCGCACACTTGGAGGGTCGACAGCCTGTAAGTTCCCAAATCATTCAGGTTGCAGGGTGTGCGCTCCATGGTTGAAAGTTAGCCCCTGCAGCCTCGTCAATCTAGGCGCGACAAACATGAAGCAAAGTGGTGAAGAATCATTCTGAGAAGCGTTTTCCTTGCGCGCTAGAACCCCTGAGCCCCAAAACTTGTGCCCTAAACCCTAAACACTAAACACTAAATCCTAAACCCTAAACCCTAAACCCTAAACCCTAAACCCAAACCTTGACACCAGGATCGCAAGTATTCTGACATTATGCGGCGGAAGCTTTCCGAGCTCGGGGCGGTGCCTTCCCGTGCTGGTGTTCAGGGTGTGTTCTGTCCGTGCCATGGAGGGTTTAGGGTTAAGGGTTTAGGGTTTAGGGTTTAGGGTGTCCTGTCCGGGATCCTGCCATCTTGGTTTTGGAATACTTGAACCTCCCCTGGTTGCAGTTGTTCCTGCCATGTCGAGGTCATCCTGTCCCAACTCCTGATTGAATCGGCTTTGAACTTAAGATGTATGGCTCATACCCATTAATGTGGCAGGTTCGTTAGCCGCAGTTTTATCGCATAGGTTTTCCGTTAGGGCCTTAAGATTCTGTGACACCCCAAGCGCTACTGTAAACTGTGAACCCGAAGCCCTTAAGCCTAGTTCCGTGTTTTGGTGGCGAACTTTGTGCCCTTTCCGGCCACTGGGTAAAGAGTGCTTTCTTGCTGGTGTTGATTCGATGCGGTCCTCCGTTCTCGCAAAGATCTGTCGTCCGAGACAAGGCTCATGTGACTGCCCTCTCAGATCCAAGATGACATTGTAAGCGCCCACGTGCTTTCTGCCGTAAGCTCATACGTAGTTGCCGAGGAGGATATGGACGCAAACCTCGTTTCTAGCTTCAAAACAGCCGCCACATCATCAACATCCCTCAGCCTAGGAACAAGAATCGAGAGGTGCACCTGACGGCGGAAGGCTTAAACCCTAAACTCTAAACCCTAAACCCGAAATTCTAAATCCTAAACCCTAAACCCTAGACCCTAAACCCTAAACTTACTTGATTCGGCAAGAGCATTGGTACAAAGGTTCAGGGTCGGGAGCTTCAGGCTCGGAGCTGATTTTGAACCGAGACCCTAGCAGTATGTAGAACCTCGCCTTTCATAGGTGTTGGGCCATGATTTTAATTACCGAGCTTTAGGGGTTTAGATAGTTATAGACCTCTGAGTCCGCGAGAGAGAGAGAGAGAGATAGTTATAAGTCTTCAACTCCTATCGCAATCCTACCATGGGCCTCAAAACCTCAGGTGCGGGAGCTGGAACTGCATTATGGGATTGTGCTCAAGGACGTCCTTTGCATGTCGCGCTTGTTGGTTTGCTTGGTGTAAAGGTTCCCTAAGCCCTGAGACGTTTTAGGGTTTAGGGTTTAGGGCCTTGAATGAGCGGGTTCGCAGATCCATAGATGCAAGCCCGTCATTCCTTGCTTAGAAGGGTCTGAGAAACGGCGTCTTCAGGACTGTGTGACTCACTTTACTGTATAAGGTTGACGGTGTCTTTTTCCGCTGCCCCTTCTGGCACATGACAGAGATCCAGATTCCAAAAAAGTTTGGGTTAAGGTTCGTTGATTTGAGCATTTTGAATCGAGGCTTCGGGTTGGTGTTGTCAGAGGCTTCGGCCACAATTCTGTAGATCCCGCCTGATGTCTGCCAGTTTCCAATGCAAAGGTGTAGCCAGGACGAGCATGAGGTAAAGCCACCCGCCAAGATACGCTTAGAATGATTTGAGAAGGTAAGGCCAGCGTGAAAGGGCCGCTGACTCAAAAAAAGTCTCTGTAGACCCTTGCCCTTCCAGACCCCAAACCCTAAACCCTAAACCCTAAACCCTAAACCCAAAACCCCAAAGCCTGAGGAGCCCCTCATTTCTTTTGGCGTTCGAGAGTGGCCCACGGAGGAGCATCGCATTCACAGCCGCTGTGGCTGGAACTCTTGGTTGCTTCGGGCCAAAACCCCAAACCTTTAGGGTTTAGGTTTTAGGGTTTAGGGTTTAGGGTTTAGGGTTTAGGGTCTGAACCCTTCAACCTACCCATGGGCCCCATAGTAGAGTAGTTCCTTTTTGGGATTACCTTATAGGATTCTAAATATGAACCCCAAAAGGGAACGACGATGGAGCCTATGGGTAAGCCCTAAACCCTAAACCTGAAA